TAATAAATAAAGTAATAAATATAGTAGTAAAGTGCAACAATTAAATTCTTATGCTGTTTGGAGTCAGAATTGGTAAATGAAATACCTTGTGAAATATTTCTTGTAATGATATTATAATGCAACGTACAAAAGTTTCCTATTATAAAGTAGCCTGTGAAATAGTTCTGTCTCATCTGCAAAGAGTGAATATCATCTCAGTTTTTAATCCTAGCAAAAAGATGACAGTCGTTATCCCACACCACTGCTTTCTTCCTTATGCCGACCAAATTCCTAAAGCTTGGAATTCGCTTTCTAAATATGTTTGGGCTTTTATAGCTAAGGAAATAGTTTGCTTTTACCAGGAGCTACTAATAACATAAATAATTCCCACCTTACCCCCAAAGAAGCTTCTCAATTTTTAAAGAATGGTAGTAATTAAGTGGGGAATTTGGTATCTAATTTGGAAAAACGAGAATGAAACAAACACCATTTTTCTTTTTTCTGTTGCTCCATGAAACTGTGATCACAGTTGCTGTGTCATATGTTTTGGTAAGGAATATTCGTTCCAGCGATGCTACAGACTACTTCTGTCAGTGAATTTTAGTGTATTTTTAACTTAAAATATAGTTGCCTTTTCCTATGTAAACTGCCATATTCTGTAATGGATTTATATCAAGAGCTAAGTGACAGAGGAAGTCAGCTTGAGCAGTGTTGCACTGCGCCGTGCCATGATAAGCATACTGACTGCTGGCAATGAGGAGCAGTCCTTGGAAGAAGTTTGCAGTGCTGCAATAATTTTACTGCTGTTAATGACTGTTACTATCTCACAGCATCCCTCTGCTTGCCTGATGGAGATGAAAAGTCTCCATTTGAAACAGAGCTCATTTTCTGGAGTGTTTTGTCTGTTTTTATTTTCTTGCCTATTAATTAGTGGATATTAGTTTTCATTGTATCAGTATTGTGGAGTTCACCTACTACACTTGAATATGCTCCATAAATACATGTATCTTTTGACATGCATTTTCTTTGTTCCATTCCAGAAGCACACAGGTATGACATAAATAACAAAACTTGAGCTATTTACAATGATGGACACTCTGTTAATAATGATCTTATTATGGAAAGGAGGACACTTACGGAAACACATCACATCTTCCCCAACTGGTTACATTATAAAACCATTCTGTTTAATGGAGATGTTCTGGAAGCCCCCGTCAAGAAGCTTTCTCAGTACAACACACACTGACTGGAGAAACGTCTATAAGCAAAATATGAGTGTGTGGCTTCCCTGCTGAAAATCTACTGTGTTTTTGAAAATCTAGCTTGTTGCCATGCCAAGGAGATCAGAAATCACTCCTTTCTATCCGGAGAGTAAACAATGCATAATGTGTGAGAAAAGATAAACATGAACAAGCACGTTAAAATACATTTGGGGCGTGCTAGGTCTTAGCTGGCTGTAACCAGACAATAACAGCAATGTGGGGCTAGGTGGACTTCAAGAGATCCATTTGGCTGTCTCTGTGCTGAGACATGGTACATTTTCCTATTCTCTTCCCAACAGGTATTTGTCTAATCCATTCTTAAAAGCCTAGGGTGAGGAAAATTCAGCTTGGAAAACCTGTTCCAGTGTATAACTGCCCATGTGTTCTGAAAGGTTTCCTAATGCCTAATCTAAACCATCTTTGCTGTAAATGAAGTTAGCTTTTCTTTCTGATAGAGGAAGCTGAGAACAACTGATCACTGTCATTTTTATACAGTATTTGAAGGCTGTTGTTTTGTGCTCCTTCCCTTAATCACAGTCATTGAAGTTTGCATTCATTTACTGCTTTTTGTAAACCTCTTAGTGTCTTCTTTTTAATCAGTCCTTCTACTCTCTCCAAGTTGTCTGTGTCTTCCGAAATTCTAGTGCCATGATCTAAAAATAGTTTTTCAGCTGAGGCCTTACATGTCCCAAGCACAAGGAACAGTGACCAGTCATGCTTACACTTCTTGAATAAGTTGTGGGGTTTTTTGCAAAGACCTCGCTTTACTGACTCATTCTCTGTTTGTAGTCTGCCGTAATCCTTTAGGGTTCTTCTCGTCAGTGTTGTTGAACGCACTTATTCTGTATGGATGTGAATGGAGTTTGTCTTTATAACTTTCGTCAGTTTACAAAAATCACTTTGAATTGTTAAATTGTTTATCAAAGTCCCTTTGATTCTGTCTCGAGAAGTATTTTAACACTTGTCACCTGCACAGTTTAAATTCTATTTCATTGTTCAAATTGTTAAGGAAAATACTGAGTAGCTTTGGAGAATAGGCTCCTCCAGTAGTGGGACTGAGCTAATTACTAACATTCAAGAGTGAGAACTTGGGGTCTTAATGGATGATTCAGTGAAAGTGTTTGCCCCCAAAAGCAAGTAAACTGTAAGAAAGAATTATTAGGAATGGGCTGAGATCAAATAGAAAAAGTCATTGTATGATTGTATAAATCACAGCCAATATTTGTGGCGAATATCCTGTGCAGTTCTGGCCCTTCCTTTTCCAGTGATATATAGTAGCACTGAAAAAGATACAGAAAAGGAATATAAGCATGACTGAAAGTATGGAATGGCTTATGTATGAGAAACAATTGAACAGACTAGGACTCTTGAAGATAGGCAAGTAAAGAGGAATATAATAACCTGTAAAATTATTAGTAGCATGCCGTGCTGCCATACAGGTATGAGCTGGCTGATGGCAAGCTTAAAACAGACAAAAGGAGGTAGTACTTCAATGTTTCATTAGCCTGTAGTACTCTGTGATGTAGAGCATTGCAGATTGTTAAAGTGTTTGCAAGTTAAATAGAGATTTATGAAATGAATGAGAAAGAAATTCACCCACAACTTTTAAATACAAAGTCACTACCTTTGGTTCAGAAAAGTGCAGTTGCAAATCTCTGTAATCTTAATTTTAGGGAAATACCACTATGTTTGCCTTGATTTTGCATTTCTTCTCAGGTATTCGCTATGGCCCATTGTTAGATACAGGGTGTGGGTTCAGTGGATCTTCCTTGTGATGTGGCGTGGCTGTTCTTACATGCTAAACTTGGGTCCTGTGTAAGCAATGAACAAAGGCTCACTTCAGTATGCCTTATGGCCAGAACTTGTCAATAGGGAGTGAAGTTACAGACTCTGAATTGTTCTGGAGATAAATTATTTTATGGAAATACTTATTTTGTAGAAATTGCTGTACAAAAAGGTTCTTCAAAATACAGGTTTTGGGACAGTATTAGGTATTGTGTATGGTACACTTGCTTTCTGGACCATAGTGGGTTCCCGTAGTACCTGTGTAACAGCATACCTTACACCTTCCACTCTCCAGCATTGCTGTCACCCATCACTCCTCCAAAGTTTCCCAATCTCTTCTGTGTTAAAATATATTTGTTTTAGGAGCTTGGTAAGGTGGACCTGAACACCTCAGATGAAGGGCAAATAGAATTTTATTATCTGCTGTGTTTATTGTACTGGTCTGTGTGTATTTTGATAAGGTTTTTCTGATATAAACCAAGAACAAAGTCTGGCATTTAGTTAATAAGTAAATTCTGCTTTTGAGAAGTTGCTGAATTCTTCACTAATTGAAGAAAATAAGTATTTTTTCTGTGGGCGGGGGAAAGCTTAGGCTGGTAACACCCTTTAATACCAGGTATATTCAGAAGAGAAGATCCTTAAGAAGGCAGCGAGAAAGCACTCTGAAACAGTACTTTGTATTGTAGCATTGACATTTGAATGAAGAAGTAATTTTTCATTGCACAAAGTTTGGTTCAGTAAATCTCCATAATTACTGAACTTTAAAAAAATCACTTAAAGCTGAATAGCTAGCTTCAAAAGGAAAAATCCAAATCTTGGTCTGTTGAATGAAGGACTGCTTCTTTCTCTTCATATAGTAGCTTGAAACTTAAAA